ATTTTCAAAATAATTTCGGATGATTCTCTGAATTTCATTGGCACCTGTTGTAATATACTCTTTTCCATCTCTTCATTTTATTAATTAGGGTTTTCTCTCTTTTGTTTATGGCTAAGGGTTTGCTAACCTGATTTATCATTTCAAAGAACCAACCCTTTGCTTCATTGATTCTTTGTATCATTCTTTTAGTGTTTATTTCATTAATTTTTACCCTGATCTTTTTTATTTTTAGGAAAGGACACTTTGAAGGTGTGTTATATTGGAATTTGACTCTAAAGATGCCTGCCTCACTTTGTGGCTAATAGTGCCAGTTCCAAAAGATCTCTCATTCTCTTATTTGACATATTATACTACAGTTACTTTTTATGACTTTATAGGGGTAGCTCTATTAACTCACATTAGGAAATCTTACTCATCTTTACTTCAGGGAGGCAGGCCCAGATTGGCCTTTACATCCTTACGTCATTCTGAAATCATGGCTAGATAGAGCATCTGAAAGTGGGAGACAGGGTAAAGATCAGATAAAATGTAATTTCCCTTCAGGATGTGGGTCCTCTGTTATTTTTAACATCCTATGGTGGATGGCCTGAGCAAGAGATCTCCCCCAACCAGAGGATGCCAATGTAAACATCCCTTGTGTGTCCACAGATATTTTTATTGCTGTGTTTGTGTGTGTGTGTGTGGGGGGGGGTTAGTGAGGTTTGAATTCAGGGCTTTGCACTTGCTAGGCAAGTACTCTACTGCTTGAACCATAACTCTAGCCCTTTTACTGCTATTATAGCTCAGTTTGGAAATAGTTCTTTTGCATCATTGCCTCTTATTTTCAAATTATTACTGATTTTGGTTTTTTTAGAATAGTATGTATTATGGAATTAAAATATATATTTGTAATATTTTTACTGGAGTTTTAGGATGAAGGCCTGGCTCTCGGGGTTCCAGTGAACAAGGCTTGGATACCTGTCTTGAAATGCTAACCAAACATGAACAGTGATGAAGGGCAAGGAAAGTGCTTTAAGCAATGTGACCACATTGGAAGGACAGTAAAGACTAGTGATCTAAGATCTGTCCTCCAGGGGCTGACAGGCACTTTGAGGTTTTTACAGAGAAAGGGAGCACAGGGAAGGTCTGGAGTTTACATACCTGGCTGAACAGGTAATCTTAGTCAGGCCATGGTGTGGTTGATCATTAGCTTAGGACTGACTCTGCCAAGACCTCCCCAAGAAGTCGTTGCTTGAGGGGGAAATTTGGTTATTACTTAGGTGGGTAGCCTTGGTTCCATCATTGGTTCAGTCATGCAGCAGGATAATTGCTCCTGCTTCGGGTGGGTGTCATCATGGGGTGATTTTTGTCTGCTGTTTGGGGGTAGTTTTGTTACCTTGTAAATCAGAACTTTTCCTGGAATCCAAGGCAAGTGTAGGAGAGAATAACCCAGGAGAATTCATAAGGAAAACATTTAGGCAAAATGAAGTCAGAGAAGGACATAAGGAGTAGGTAGGCCAGTGACTGGGCCTTTCTTCAGTATAGATTATCTTTTGCATGTTTGTTATTAAACAGAAGACTATATCTCTTTATGGGCTGGTAGAGTGGCTCAAGTGATAGAGCACCTGCCTAGCAAGCATAAGACTCTGAGTTCAAACCCCAGTACCACCAAAAAAAGTGTATTTCATTTAACTTTCTTATTTTAACATCTGAAATCATCAGTTATTTGATAGTATGATGGTTAATTGGTGGGGTTTTTCCTTTTTTTAGCTCTTTATGGAATGATGTCATATCTTTAACAAGTGAATTATTTTGAATTTGATGAAATACAGATGTTTGCTATCCAGATTGTTCATGGTTTAGCCTCAAAAACACAGGTAAAATGCTAAGATTGGTAGACAGAGTTGATAGTACTGATACTAAGATACAGAGAATATTTATTCTGTGTCTTTTTCTAAAGACTTTTGAAAAATATTATCTCAGTTTTGTCAAATAGATTGGAAATGTAAGGACTTTAAACATAATAACAAATAAATTGTATGGGCTTCATTAAAAGGCCTAATGGAATCCTCAACTGAAGTGAATATTCCTTTTGCCCTCTATTCAATCTATTCTCCCTTTCAAAGTTTCATTCTTTTTCCAGCTTTCAGTGCTAACCTCTAATTTTTTTTTCGTGTTCTTTGCTTCTTCTCATGTGTATTCCATGTTATTCTTTCTTTTTTTATTAATAGACTTTTCTTGGGGAGCAGATGTAGGTTTACTGAAATGAATGAAAAGTACAGAGTTCCCATATATACTACCCCCTTTATGTTTGCCCTATTATTAACATCTTGCATTAGTGTGATACATTTGTTACAATTGATGAACTGGCATTTACATGCATTATTATAAGCTAAAGTCTATTATATTGGGATTCACTCTTTATGGTACACATTCTGTGGGTTTTGGCAAATATATAATGACATGTATTCATCATTTCAATATCATACAAAATAATTTCAGTGTCTTAAACGTCCTGTGCATTCTTTTTCCATATTTTGCCTTTTCCAGTATGTTACATAGTTGAAATCATTTAATAGGTAGCCTTTTCAGATTGGCTTTTTCACTTAATGATATTCTTTTCATGGCTCAATAGCCCATTTTTTTAAAAACCAGTGAATAATACTCCATCGTATGGATGTCCTTCACTCATTGAAGGACAACTTAGTTGCTTCCAAGTTCAGGCAATTATGAATAATGATTTAGACTTTTAAAACATAAAGTATCTCAAGTCACTTGTAAAAATGTTGAGCTAATTCAGTATTTTGAGCCTTAAAGAATGATGACTATTATCTTTGAATTAAAAATTTCTAATTGCATATTGAGCTCATAATGTGCAATAGATGAGTGTAGAATGATTATATGTGAAAGAAGGAAGAAAGTATTGAAGAGGAGTTGAGGGAAAGATTACATATTAAATCTGGATAATTTTTGGAAAATAAGATTTTCTTGAAACTCAGGTGAAAATGCTAACGGGGACCAAGATGTTCTGAATTCAACCATTTGCTTGAGAACATTCTAAAACAAAACTGACATCAAGTGACCCAGAAACCAAGCCATTAGGTCTCTATTATTTTATTTGAATGGAATGACTAGAAAGAAAATAGAGCTTATATTTTGAAAAAGAATTACAGAATAGAAGTCAAGTTTTATAAAATGGAGAAGTAGTTGTTTGGTAACCATAGGGTAGATGTTAGATAATAACATAGTGAATATAATTGCACAAAATCCATAGATCTGTGAGTTACGTTGTCTGCTTAATAAAAATTTAATGGGGGAAGTTATTTAGTTACAGGATTTAGGACTCACTGAATATTTTTGTTTATAGTTTTGTGGAATCTGAGGAATATAGAAATTAATGAGCTATAAATCCATTTGAATGTCTAAAATATTTTTGTCTTAGAAATGCTGTTTGCAGCTGGGTGCTTGTGGCTCACACCTACAATCCTAGCTACTCTGGAGGTAGAGCTCAGGAGGATTATGGTTCAAAGTCAACCCCATGCAAATAGTTTGTGAGACCCTATCTTGAAAAAACCCATTATATAAAAATTTTAAAAAAATGACTGCCAAAGTGGCTTAAGTGGTAAATGTGCCTGCCTAGCAAGCCTGAGCCCCAAGTTCAAACCCCAGTGCTGTCAAAAAGAAAAAAAAGCTGTTTATTTAAGTAAATTTGAAATACTAGTATGCCCCAAGAGTCAACGAACACCTTGAAATCTTAATATTTCTAAGCACTAATCCTGATTTTTCAAATAAAGATTTATCTGTTAAGTTGTGGTAGTGCCTTTGTGATTCAGTTAATTTGTCAGTAGAAGTACACAGGACTTAAACTCTGACCTTTGTTGAGTGCTGTATGCTCAGTATTTTAGGGGAAAAAAAAACTAGCGTAACTACTGCCTCTATTTTAAGAGAATATAAATACGGAAAAAAATAATAAGCGGAAGAAAATATAAATTAGGTTTTGGTAAATGTTCTAGGAGTTTTTAAAAAGTATGGTACTATTTTTAGTTGTTTTGGGCAAAGATATTTTGATGCAGATCTTGGCTTTCAAGTTTTACCCTTAAAACTACTTAAGAATTGGGTTAGTCAACATGAGATAGAAACAGCATTCCCAGGAAACAATTTATGTTTATTGACAGGAATTTGGAAAAGTCCATGAAAGGCTGGAGAAGTAAATTAGGGTTCGATTAAGTTACTCTTGATGGGTTGTGAGGACATTGGTTATTAGTTAAGTAAAAATAGAGAATAGTTTGGGGCATGAATGAGGAGCTAGGCATATTAGAAATTCTTGCAGTATGTTGATTTGTTTATAAAATACTTTAGAATTAATTTTATATCTTGAAAATATATACATTTTAATATGCATTTTTATAGCTTCCAGCTTGATCATAGGTCAAATTATGTTCCTTAAAATGCCGTATTTAAAAAAGCCTTATATACTAGATGTAGTGGCTCACGCCTGTAATCCCAGCTGCACTCAGTAGGTGGAGATTGAGAGGACTGCGGTTGGAGGCCAGCTTGGGCAAAATGTTGGTGAAACCTCATCTCAACAAAACAAGCCAGGCATGGTGGTGTGTGCCTGTCTTCCCAGCTATGTTGGAAGTCCTGGGCAGGAAGATTGTGGTCTGAGGCCACCCCAGGCAAAAAGCAAGATCCTCTTTGGAAAATAACCTAAAATAAAATGGGTTGGAGACTTGGCTTCAGTGGTAGAGTACTCACCTGCCTAGCAAGCAGTACTCATGCCCTGAGTTAAAAAAAAAGAAAGCTTTATATAAGTTGGCTGTAGCTCTGGTATTTTACATCAGCAATATAAAAATGTTTTAACATAATATAAGCTAGAAAACTAGTTCCTGACTTTATGGTCTTATTGATACACTGAGACTTTGTTGTTCTTCTAACGATTCTTTAATATAGTTCCCTCCATTGTAAATGAGTTTAAAAACAATGTATATAATAAACTTGGTATTTTTTTGTTGTTGTTATAGAACTGTGGCAGCTGAAGTTAGGAAGCAGATCTCTGGACAATATAGTGGTTCTCCCCAACTGCTCAAAAACCTCAACATAGGTGGCAGTATATCTCATCACACCACAGTAAGTAGCATGTTCAAATCATGGCATATTACAGATGCTTTACTGAGGAGGCCACAAAAAAGTAGTGGAACAATAAAGAGCCAAGAAATTGGGTTCCAGCACTAGTTTTGTATCCTTACTTGTTGCCAACTCATTCTGGAAATCTAAGTTGGGAAAAGGTAGCAGGGGGTGTTACAGAGTGTTGGTTTCCTAGTCAACTCAAACTTTATATTCAGATTTAATCAAATTTGGAATCTTATATTTAGAACTTCCAAGACCCAAAGTGATTCATTATATGAAAATACAGGAATGAATCTATTTTAGAAATAAGCAGTGAAGTAAACAGTAAATGATTAGGTGGGGCCAGGCATGGTGGCACATGCCTGTAATCATAGCTACAAGGGAAGGAGAAAAGAGGATCATGGTTTGAGACCAGCCTTAGCCTTTGAGACCCTATCTCAAAAACAAGCTGGGTATGGTGATTCACTCCAGCTACTTGGGAGTTGGAGGTAAGAATAGTGTGGTCTAAGGCTGGCCTGGACAAAAGTGTAAGAGCTTATCTGAAAAACAAGCTAAAAGCAAATGGGCTTGGTGTGACTCAAGTGATAGAGCACTTGACTAGCAAGCATAAGGCTCTGATTTCAATTCTCAGTACAAACCCCCTCCAAAATAAAGTCAGTTTGTTACATCATCAGACCCCTTTAATAGAAAGGCATATCTATCGAATCATTATTGTAAATCAGGTACTGTGTCAGAGATATAAATAAATGTCTTATTAAAGATGCTGGCATGAAGATAATCAGTTTTGATAAAAACTTATGTTTTTGCTCTTGGTTTTCAGCTTCCACCTGGGCCCCACCATGCTTTCCTTTGTATTTCTCTTCCCTAACTTTTAATAAACTCCCTTTATACCCTGTGTCCTGCCATGGATTTTTCCTGGTGGGATGCAAAGAATTTGGAGTCTTCTGATTACAGACTGCTTCATGCTGTTGACAATCAGAAGGCATCTGAAAACTTCTAATGAATAGTCTCAGAATGGGAGAGGAGTTCATGCATTAATTAATTCATCCCACAGGTATCTTCTTTGAGTGAGTTGACATGCCGGGTCTTGGGGATACATGTTGGGCAGAATGAAGGTTTTTATCCTCATTGAACTTACAGTCCAGTGGGACAGAATTCACAGCCCCAAAGAGTGTGATGTTTTGCAGTATGAATTTTCTTTATTAATTCAAGCAAACGTAACATGCAGTTTGGTCTAAAATGCACTGCTTTAAAATAAGGTTTATTTGGTGTAGCTCTCAGTTCACAAACTCAAGTTATGGCAGATGAAAGATACTTGATTTCCTACAGACTAATTTAGAGGATATTTTAGGGTAATTTCCTACAAGACTGGCAGGATATATGGACTTCCGTGCTTCTAGATTTCTCCTCCACCTTCCTGATACTGTTTCCAGGGGGTGTGAAGGGTCAAGATGTTGAAAACAGAGGACTTTTTTGAGTTGGCTTCTTCCAATACATCTCTCTTGAGAGTCACCATGACCATGGACCAGACCCAGCTGAGTCTGGGGTTCTCAGACTGGTACACGGGGTGGGGTCTTCTATGGATAGTTCCCCTGTCTTTTCTGGTTTTTTTTTTTTTTTTTTTGCGATACTGGGGCTTGAACTCAGGGCCTACACCTTGAGCCATTCTACACCAGCCCTTTTTGTGTTAGGTATTTGGAAGATAGGGTCTCATGAACTATTTGCCCGATCTGGCTTTGAACCATGAGCCTCCTCATCTCTGCCTCCTGAGCAGCTAGGATTACAGACATGAGCCACTGGCATCTGGCAGTTCCCATGTCTTGTAACTAGATCTGTTCCCATGTGGAGCTCTCACCTGCCTTCCTCCAGCCAGACTGGAGATCTCTGTCTAAGCACAAGGACCCTCTATCTCTCTGTGAGTTGTTGTAAGCATATTTTGTCTACGGAGTATTAGATGTTTTTGTCCTTTGCTAGGATTTGACTTTATGCAGCTCTTGAAGAAATAGCTCAGTGCATATTACCTGCTTCCATGGAGAGAAGGAAAAAAAAATCTTATATTTACATTTTTTTATACCAGGAATATGAATTTAAATAGATCTTCATTTGTCTTAAAATTAGAGATCATTTGAAAAGTATTAAATTCTGTGGAAAACTAAAGTAAATAAATGAGATAGGGTGACTAGGCATTGGTGGCTCATGTCTGTAATCATAGCATCTTCGGAGGCAGAGATCAGGAAGATCTCTCAGGAAGATCTGCAGGAAGCACAGATAGAAGGATAGTGGTCCAGGCTGTCCTGGAAATAAAACAGTACTCTATCTCTAAAACAACTAGTACAAAAGGACTGGTGGAGTGACTAAAGTTGTAGAATACCTGCATAGCAAGTTCAAGGACCTGAGTTCAATCCTCTGTATTGCCCCTAAACAATCAAACAAACAAACAAAAACTTCCTACAGTCAGGCCCTATATTTGGTCATGTTGAATAATTACAACCCATTTTTAATCTCAGTTTTTTACTTCCCACTGTCTGATCATCACTACTTATTTTGTCCTTTTATTCTGGTACCCTGACTCTTAACTGTCTTCTGTCCCATGAGGACCTAGACTCCACTAACTTTTTATTGTTCCTTGCCCCTTGATGTCCTGTCTCCAGCCTTACCAAACTAAAATTAATTTTTGATCAGGCTGGGCATAGTGGCTCATGCCTGTAATCCCAGTTACTTAGGAGGTGGAGATAGAATTGTGGTTTAAGGCCATCCTGGACAAAACACCCTATGTCAAAGAACAAACTGGGTATGGTTGTACATTTCTGTAATTACATCTATGTAGGAGGCAGAGATAGGAGGATTGGGGCCTGAAGCTGGCACAAGTGTAAAGTTCTATCTAAAAAATAACTAAAACCATGACTGGGGCCATGATTCAAGTGCTCTACCACTTGCGCCTTTCCCCCGGCCCTTTTATGCTTTCATTATTTTTCAGGTAGAGTTTTGCATTTTTGCCTCAGTGCCTCCTGCCTACAGCCTTTTGTGTATCTGGGATCACAGCTTCATGCCACCATGCCCAGCTTATTGATTGAGTTGAGGTCTTGCTAATTTTTTGCCTTGGCTGGTTAAACTGTAATCCTTCCAATCTCCACCTCCAAGAAGCTGGGACAATAGGTATGAGCCACTGTTCCTGGCCTGTATTTTTCAATTCTAAAATTCCCATTTAGTTCTTTATATATTTTGGTTCTTTGCTGAGACTTTCGTTTCTTTGTAGAGTTTCTGTTGCTGAGAGTTTGTATTTTCATTTAAGTTTGTTCGCAATTTTGCTTATGGAAGCATTTTTATAATGTTTTATAAAATACTTGTCACATATTGCTGAGATCTCTCATCTTGGTGTTGTCTACAGATTGTCTCTTCATTCAAGTTGCATTGGTTCTTGGTATGATGAGTGATTTTTTTTTTTTTATTGGAACCTTGGGTCTCATCTTTCTAAACATGTAGCTTGCTTTCCCTGACATGGCTCTGGTTATAGACGAGTGGGTCTTACCCTGTTATGGACAGAGGGAGTAGATGTCCAGATTTTCCATTCACCCTTTTTTGATATGAAAGGAGAGGCAGGGGTAGCAGTTCCCGCTTCCACTTGATCATGGCTCATACCACTTAACTGGGAAGGGAAATAGTACCTATTGTTTCTCATAGGTTCCATTGACACTTGGGGGAGGGGTGTGGCCTTGTCGCACTGATGGAAGTCTTGGCTCTCTTCTAGCCCTTCTCTGACACAACCCCTGAGAAAACAGAAAGGGGAGTCTTATTGCCAAATGGTTGTGAATGTCCAGATTTCCCAAGTGGTCTCTACTGATACTGTGGGTGAGCACTCATTGCTTATTAGGGATGAACTCTGTACTCAGACTTCTCTTACATCACTCTGGTGGGGAGCATTGTGGCTCCTTTTTATAGCTTTGTGAAGGTGGACGCCCCTTGGAATTTGCTGATGGAGTATGCGTGGGGCCACAGTTTTTCATGCAATGTTTAGCTACAGTAGAGCAGTTGTTGTCTACAAGTTTGTTTTTTTGTTTTTTTTTGTGTGTGTGATTACTGGGGTTTGAACTACCACTTGCAGGTACTCTACCATTTGAGCCTCTCCACCAGCTCCCTTTCTTGGTCCTTTGGCAGAGCAGAATTGGCTTTTTGTTCTGCACTCTGGTATTTCCGGGTTGAGGACTTCTCTAGCTGTGAGTCTAGGATACATTAAAACGAAGAGAAATTTTAAGTAACTCACTACTGTGCCATTTTTTGGGTTCTGAGGTTCATACTGATCTGCCTTTTTCTCTCCATCATTTTATTAGAGTCTGTGTTTGTTTTATACGTAATGTCCAGATTATTAGTTATACACAGTGGGAAGAAGAGAGAAAAGTAAGTCTACTTCATCTTCCCAGAAGTGGAAGCTCTTTTAATAACTTTTGATGTTGAGCACTTTTTCATGTCCATCTTATCTCTTATTGGCCATCTCATGTTTCTCTTTGTGAAATGTCTGATTAATTTTCTTATTTTTTCCCATTTATTTGAGGGTATGGCTTTGTCTTTTTACTATTGAGATATTTAGGACTTCTTTCTGTATTTTAGATACCAGTCCTTTATCAAATATGTTTTGTAAATATTTTCTTAGTTTAGCTTGCCTATATATTTCCTTTTTCTTTTTTAAAAATTTGTTTATAACAATAATAAATTTATATTTTTTTAAGTAAATTTTTAAAAAAATTTTATTTTTGGGTACTGCTGATCGAACCCAGGTCCTCTTGCATGTAGACAAGCTCTCTTGCACTGAGCTATATCCCTAACACCTTTTAATTTTATTTTGAGACAAGGACTCACTGTGTTGCCCAGATTGGCCTTGAAATGTGAGCCACAAAATGGTAGCTCAGAAATTTGAAACTGGGTCTTGCAGCTCCAAAATTCATGTTGGTTTTTTTTCCTTTCTGAAGCAGTCTATCCTATTCTATCAAGTGCATATTACACTATGATGATGATCTTAACATAACATATGCTAAAACTATAAAGCTCCTAGAAGAAAATATAGCAGAAAATCTTTACAATTTAAAAGTTTACAAGGGCTTTTTAGACATGACACAGAATGTAGTAACCATAAAGAACAACTTGATAAATCTGTCAAAGACACCATTAAGAAAATGAATAGGCAGCTAGGCGTGGTGGTGCGTGCCTGTAATTCTAGTTACTCAACAGTGCAATAAATCTTCTTTTTATTGCTAATAGACACTTTAAATAGGGTCTGTGTACTAGTTTTCTGTGGTTACTATTTTATTCTCTTGTATTCCTGGAAGCCGGAATTCTGAAGTCAGTCTCACTAGACAGAAATCAAGGTTTTAGGGGGCTGGGATGTAGCTCGGTGGTACAGCGCTTGCCTAGCATGCATGAGGCCCTGGGTTCGATCACAGCACAAAAAAGAAAAGACAAAAAAAAAAAAGAAATCAAGGTTTTGGTAAGACCACAATCCCTTCACAAGTTCTAGGGGAGAATCAGTTCTTTGCCTCTTCCAGATTCTGGTGGCTTCTGGCATTCCTTGACCTATGGCCTCATCACTTACATCTTTAAGGCTAGAATCTTCAAAATTCCCTCTGTTCCACCTTCACTTGGCTTTTTTCTGTGTTTATGTGACCCAATCTCCCTCTGTCTCCTTATAAGAATATATGTGATTCTCGATTCTCCTTATAAGGATAAATGTGATTATATTTAGGACTCATCCATGTAATCCAGGATAATGTTCCCATTTTAAGATCCTTTAATCACATGTGCAAAGACTGTTGTTTTAACTTTTTATTTTGGCAGTACTGGGGTTTGAACTCGACCTTGTGCTTGCCTGGCAGGTACCCTACCACTTGAGCCACACCCCTTCATTCTTTTTTGCTTTAGTTTTTTTCAAAAACTAAAGGCTGCCTGGGCCAGCCTAAACTGCTATCTCCCTATTTATGCTTTCCATGTAGTAGGATTCACAGGCATGCCACCACACCCAGCTTTTTATTGGTTGAGATGAGTCCTCACAAACTTTTTTTGCCCAGGCTGGCCTGAGACTGTGGTCCCCCTGATCTCTGCCTCCTGAGTAGCTAGGATTATAGGCATGAGCCACCGCAGCTCTTTTTAATTTTCTTACCTAGACTTTCCCCATAACTTTCATGCAAAAATACCAATAATAACTAGCAGTGTTGTCCCAAGCCAGCCTGAGCAAATAGTTCTTGAGATCCTATCTCAAAAATAACCAATAAAAACTGGGCTGGCAGAGTAGCTCAAGTGGTAGAGCCCCTGCCTACCAAGTGTGAGGCTCTGAGTTCAAACCTGGTACTGTCCCCCCAAAAAAAGAAAGTTAGAGTATGATCAAAAGCATAAAGGAATGTAATGCTAACACATTGTGGTTCCTTTAGTGTATCTGGCTGAATAGCTGTTGAAATTTTAGAAAAAACTAGATTAAAAGCATATTATGTTAATTTTTTCCTTTTTAAAAGTTTTAAAATTCTTACATTCACCTTTTCATTTCTGCCACCTTTCATGCCCACTCCTCTTTATAAAGGTGCCCCTTACTGAAGCAGTGGATCCAGTGGACTTGGAAGATTACCTCAATACTCATCCTTTAGCTGTGGATTCTGGACTTCTAAGGGATTTGATTGAATTTCCTCCAGATGATATTGAAGTTGTTTATAGTCCTAGGGACTGTAGAACCCTTGTTTCAGCTGTACCTGAAGAAAGGTAAGGAGACAGTTATCTATTTGTGGTTTATTTAGATCTTACTTCTTGTGGTGGTTTTGTTTCCTATTATAAGAACAAGAGCTGTAACTCTTGTTTGGTTTATAAACCAAATTTATAAAAATCATTGCTTTGTGTGTAAATTATATACATATTTTCTTTTTTAAAATAGTGAAATGGATCCTCATGTTCGAGATTGTATAAGAAGTTATACAGAAGACTGGGCAGTTGTGATCAGAAAGTAAGTTGTATGTTTATTATAAAATTTAAAAATACTGAATAGAATTTGTAAATGGATTAAGTTAAACTAATAAAAATTATTACACTTGAAATTTTATTTAAGCAAATAGTCAAAGAAGCAAAAGAATAATCTTACATATAGATACTTTTTTTTTTTGAGTTCCATACTGACTTCTGCTTATTTTCCTTATCAAGTATTAGGTTGTAGCCAGGCACCGGTGGCTCATACCTATAATTCTGTAATCCTAGCTACTTGAGAAACTGAAATCGGGAGGACTGAGATTAGAGGCCAGTGTGGGCAAATAGATCACAAGACCCCATCTCTAAAATAACCACAGCAAAATGGACTGGAGATGTGGCTCATGTGTAGAGCACTTGCTTTGCAAGCATAAAGCCCTGAGTTCAAACCTCAGTCCCACAAAAAACAAGCAAACAAATAAAACAAAACAAAAAACCAGAATATTAGGTTTGTGGAAATTGTATTTCTGTATTATTATAAATCACTAAGAACTAATAGTATATAATAATAGTATATACTAATAGTGGTTTGTGTATTCTTACTCATTTAGGATTCATTCATACATATATATAAAATAACATGATGAATCCTACCAAAATTGTTGAAAAGGAGGGGAAGAAGAAGAGAGGGTTGTTAAGAAAGAGTAACTTAGCTGGGGTTAATTTGATCAAAGTAGATTATATATAAGTTGTAAGTATTAAAATAACAATGAAATCTCTTGGTATAATTAATTTATGTTATTAAAAAATTGACAGATTAATACAACTACTTTTCCATTGCTAATATGCATAATGAAGAACGGCCTTCATAATGAAATTTCTTAACCTTATTTCTCTTAAGGAGACATAATAATGAATAGTGGAGAATTCTGTTACATGATATTTTTCACAAAGGAGGTGATCTGTAGCAAATAGCACAGCTTATTACATGTTGCTTAATAGATGTTGCTTATTGTTTTGTCCCCATGGCTACTGTCTTATTTCACTGGGCTTAATACTGTGCTAAATCTCACTCTGAAAGACAGTACTGACATGCTTTTTAGTTTCAGTGTGATCTGATAAAAGCAGTTTGCTGCTAGTAATAGAATAGTTTTTATGAATTTATAATTTGTACAGAGTTAGGTATTACTGACGAGATGTAATGTTTCTGTCAGATAATTAAAAAATCTTCTATGCATATATGTTAGAAACCTATAATCAAAAATCATAATAAACAGGTTATTTGTAAATTGAACTCAAGTATTGAATTCAAAATAAAGGAATCTTCTAAGTATTTGTTGTTATCCTTAGTTTAGGCAAGAGGGAAAAGGAATTAACATCTGTGGGCACTTGCCATGTGCTGGATATTTTATTGGGTACTTTATCCTCATCTCATTTAAAGTTCTAATAGATAAGGTAACTCAGACTCAAAATTGTTAAGTAACTTCTCTAAGGGCCCAAAAGCCAAAAAAGGGAAGTAGCCAGGATTAGAACCTAGGGGCATCAGATTCTGAAGATTTTTTTTCTGTTATACTAAGTATTATTTATTATCTGCACTAGGGAATGGGAGACAAAAGGGGTTTTTGGGGGACTAGAAGTTATGAGGTATCTTTGAAAGATAGAAGATAGTCATCATTGGAACATAAATGAAAACCATAGTACAGAATAATCTAAGAAATAGATACATGTAATAGCTTCAGTTGAGCTTAAAGGTAAGAAGTAATTTATGTAGGCCCTGGAAAAGGGACCTGGGGCAAATGTCAGACATACAGTTATTTTAAAACCCTGCACCATGTGTGTACAACAGTGGCAGCTTTTGTTTAGGAGCAGTAATTGTGGAAACTTCTGGTAGGGTAGCCCAGGATGGGGACACCTTGGAGAAAAAGGAGCCCTCATACCCAGAAGACTAGGTACTGTCTAACTTTGCCTGGCAGCTAAATTGCCCCTTCCTCATAACCATTGGGTATGGGCTAGAATATGCAGTTCATGCAAATGTAGAAGATACAAATTCTAAACAAACATTGAACCCAGAGTTAGCAATTTTGTTGAAAGGCAACACACTTGTAAGGGAGTTATCAAGCTACAAATGAAAAAACTAATAATTTAGGAAATAATCAATGGAGCACAAAGTTAGACCACTGAATGTAATGAATATACTTTTGTATTAGATATTAAAAGATATTATAACCATAGCAAAATCAATTAGTTATTTTTAGGAATTAAAATTCGATCAGTGAAAAATTTAAATCTGGACAGATGTAGCTGAAAAGCAAACTATGAGCCATGAGATGAAACCAAAAAATTCTTCCATAATTCAGCAAACTAAAAGACAGAAAATACTTGATTCATTAAAAAAAATATTTCTAGAGGTTCTTGTGTGTACCAGGCACTATACTAAACACTATGGCACAACAATGAATAAAGTCAGCTCTTTTCCCTCATGGAGCTTATGTTCTAGAGGAAGATGAGATCAATATAATAACCAAACCAAAGCACAGATACATATTTAATAGATATGGTGAAGGTAAATTTATGAATAAAGGTAGCGTGAAGGGACTATAGCCAAGAAGAGGAAAAATATTTTTATTTTATGTAAGTAATCAAGGGGCTTCACTGATGAGTGATTTTGAAGCAGAGACCTGAAGGAGTAAGTGAGCTCTATGGATAGCTTGAAGAAGAATGTTGATAGGCAGATGGAAGATGTGATAGGTGTGAAGGCTTGGTATTAGAAGCATGCTGAAGATGTTGTGGCTGGAAAAAATAAATGAGTATAAGAATGCCAAGAGATGAAGTAAGAAAAATGGTGGTGTGTATGGGATTGGGTGGGCAATCATATAGAACTTTATAGCAACTGTTTAGAAGACAGGACAATAACAAGGAAAGAACTTTGATTATGAATCACTTTTCTCAGCTCTCTTGGATTGTGTACTGTCAATTTTTAGAACAGAATGCAGCACTATAATTTGTCAGAGCAGCTTACTTATGCAACTTTACAATTTAATGCACTTGAAACATTTCATGAAAGATTAACATACTTGCTTCTGAATAATACCTTAAATGTTACTATACTGAATGTCTTTATTTTAGTTTTTCCAGAAAAAAAATGCTTTTATTTTATGACTAAGCTGTGATTTTAATATCATGTAGCTGCTATTTTAATAACTTCAGCAACAAGATAGGATGTGAGGGATTCATGCTAAATATGATTATTATTTCATGAACTATCTGCTCGCAAGAACCATATCGTCTTCTGGTAATTATAGTTTTGTTCCAATTAATTTTGACTTTATGAGCTGTTGAGCTATGAACAATAACTATTTTTGATCAGTTCTTATTTGATGTTTTTAGGTTTTTTTTTTTTTTGCATCTTTACTAGCATATGATGGAAATACTATGTTACTCATGTATGAAAATAGAAAAATGACACCTGTTGAAACTATTCTAGGAATGAGGAGGAGATAAAAAAGAATGATGGAGGGGGGGAATTCAACTAAGATATATTGTAAGGACTTTTGTTATTAGCACAGTGTACCCCCAGTACAACAATAATATAATATAAATTAAAATGTAAATAAAAAAGGGGTTTCATTGTGTTATTTCCATACATCCGTACAACTTACCCTGATCAAATTCACCGCTTCTATCATTCCCCTATCTTCCCTCCCTCCTTCTTAAAACAATTCCAACAGGTTTCATTGTACTTTATACATGTGTATAAGTACTTCTATCATATTCACCCTCACCCTTCACCCTATCCTTTTTCCTTCCCATCTCCTGCTGATATCTACCCCTAAGAAAAACCTGTTTTACATTCCTGCCATTCATTTTCAAGCACTAAATTCTATATATGAGAGAGAACATAGATGTTTATCTTTCTAAGTCTGGCTTATTTAGCTTAACATCATGATTGTCAGTTCCATCCTTTGTCCTAAAAATGGCATAATTTCATTCTTTATGGCTGAATCATATTCCATTTTGTGTGTGTGTGTGTGTGTGTATAGATAAATATATGTCTGTCTATTATCTGTCTGTCTTAGTGATTGCCATTCTGACTGGGGTGAGGTAAAAATATCAATGATGTTTTGATTTGCATTTCCTTTATGACTAGGGATATTGAACATTTCTTCATGTTTTTATTAGTCATTTGTACTTCTTTTGAAAACTGTTCAATTCATTTGCCCAATTATTGATTGGGTTATTTATTTTAGCGTTTAATTTTTGGAGTTCTATATATTCTGGATATTAGTCCTTTCTCCAATAAATAGCTGGCTAAGATTTTCTCCCATTCTGTAGGTTTTCTTTTGATTCTGGTAATTATTTCCTTTGCTGTGTAGAAGCTTTTTAATTTAATGCAGTCCCATGTTTCAATTCTTGTTCTTATGGGGTTTTGTTCAGAAAAATATTACGTATGCCTATGTCTTCAATGGTTTTCCCCTAGTAATTTCAAAGTTTCTGGTCTTACATTAAGATCTTTGATCCACTTAGAATTGATTTTTTTTTTCAGTACTGAGGTTTGAACTCAGTGCCTACACTTTGAGCCATTCCACCAGCCCTTTTTTTTTTTTGTGAAGTTCTTTTTCAAGATAGGGTCTCGCAGACTGTTTGCTGGAGCAGGCTTCAAACTGTGATTCTCCTGACTGTGCTTCCTGAGTAGCTAGGATTACAGATGTGAGCCACCAGCACCCTACTGGAATTGATTTTTTTTTTTTTCTTCTTTATACGTTTCTTTTTTTTTTAAAATTGTTTTATTATTCGTATGTGCATACAAGGCTTGGGTCATTTCTCCCCCCTGCCCCCATCCCCTCCCTTACCACCCACTCCACCCCTCCCTCTCCCCCCACCCCCTCAATACCCAGCATAAACTATTTTGCCCTTATCTCTAATTTTGTTGAAGAGAGAGTATAAACAATAATAGGAAGGAACAAGTGTTCCTGGTTGAGATAAGGACAGCTATACAGGGAGTCGACTCACATTAATTTCCTGCACGTGTATGTTACCTTCTAGGTTAATTCTTTTTGATCTAACCTTTTCTCTAGTTCCTGGTCCCCTTTTCCTATTGGCCTCAGTTGCTTTTAAGGTATCTGCTTTAGTTTCTCTGCGTTAAGGGCAACAAATGCTAGCTAATTTTTTAGGTGTCTTACCTATCCTCACCCCTCCCTTGTGTGCTCTCGCTTTTATCATGTGCTCAAAGTCTGGAATTGATTTTTATGCAGGGTGAGAGATAGGGTCTAGTTTCAGTCTTCTATATGTGGGTGTCAGTTTTTTGGCTTTTTTTTTTTTTTTTTGCAACACTGGGGTTTGAACTCAGGGCTTCATACTTGTTAGGCAGGTACTCTACCACTTGGGCCATGCTTCCAGGTCTTTTTGCTTTAGTTAGTCTTTGGATATGTTCTTGCATTTTTGCCCAAGGCTGTACTTAGACATGGATGCTCCTCCCTATGGCTCCTGCATAGCTGGGATTACAGTGTATATCACCATGCCTGGTTTATTTGTTGAGATGGTTTCCCTAACTTTTCTTCTTTTTTTCTGGCCTGGCCTCAAGCCATTATCCTCCTCATCTCTGCCTCCTGAGTAGCTGGAATTATAAGCGTGAGCCACCTTGCCTGGCCCTACTTACTGGGTTTTTCATTAGCTTGTTAGGAAAGAAAGTTAAATTAACTTAAAAGTTCTCCTAAGCTCCCCCCTCTCTATATTGTGTTATTTAAATAATATATGTATGTATTCATTTTGCTTTTCATTTTGTATGTTTGTGACTTTAGATTAAAATGTTTTATGTATAATGATATAGCAAATTTTTTTTGGTGGAACTGGGGTTTGAACTCAGAGCTTTATACTTGCAAAGCAAGCACTCTATTACTTGAGCCATACCTCTACTCCTTTTTGCTGTGGTTATTTTGCATATGGGGTCTCTCCAACTATTTGCCTGGGCTGGCTTCAAACCATGATTCTCCCAATCTCAGCCTCCCAAATAACTAGAATTATAGGTATAGCCACCAGTGTCTCACTAACAGCAAAAATTTTAAAAATCCAATGCTTTTTATATATCTTTTTACTTTCAAATTTTTGTAGTATTATTAATGAAATATATATTTTCTACTTTCTTAATTTTTTTTTAACCTGGCTTCTCAAGTTTTCCTTTTACTGTCCAATTCTCTGAATTGAAAGTACAACTTAAATTATACACACATAGTTTGCATGGAAAGGAGGAAAATATGATTTCAGTTGTATTAAAGAAACTTTGGAAATTTTTTTTTCTTTTTTTTGAGGGACTGGGGCTTGAACTCAGGGCTTTCACCTTGAACCACTCTACCAGCCCAAATTTTTGTGGTAGGGTTTTTTGAGATAGGGTCTTGTGAGCTATTTGCTCAAGCTGGCTTCGAACTGTGATCCTTCTGATCTCTGCCTCCTGAGTAGCCAATGTTACAGAAGTAAGCCGCTGGTGCCTGGCTTGGAAATTTTCGTAAACCTCTGATTTAGCAGACTCAAAACTGCTAGAATAGAGCCTTTTTATGTAAAGAAATGATGTAAAGAACAGTTGTATTACATGATGCCAAAAAAAGGAAATAATTTTCAAAAGTTGATATTTATTTAACTGTCTTGTTTGAATAGATATCATAAACTTGGAACAGGATTTAATCCCAATACATTGGATAAACAGAAAGAAAGGCAAAAAGGTTTGCCAAAACAGGTCTTTGAATCTGATGAAGCTCCAGATGGCAACACCTACCAGGATGAGCAAGTAATACTTTTATTGTTAAATGACTACAAAAAGGTATGTTGTAATTGATTAATTAATTGATGTAATCATGTTTAATGTTTTGCATGTCAGGATGATCTCAAAAGACGCTCAATGTCAATAGATGATACTCCAAGAGGTAGCTGGGCCTGCAGTATCTTTGACTTGAAAAACTCACTTCCTGATGCTTTGCTTCCTAATTTACTTGATCGAACTCCAAATGAAGAAATAGACCATCAGAATGATGACCAAAGGAAATTAAACCGTCACAAGGAACTATTTGCTTTGCATCCAGCACCAGATGAGGTATTGGTTCTGTACAGAAGATGCAAATGATCATTAAAACAGCTCTTTTGGGAGCATGATTTATGAACAGTATTATAATAATGTCAGAACTAAAATTTAACCAAAATATAACTGTAATTATGTAAATGAAATATGCTTTTTTTATACTAGTGAATTTATTCTTAATGAGTAATGTCTGTGAATTGAGCATAGTTAGAATCTCATGACTTCTCTTTATAGACAAATAGGTCATTCTTTCCTATGTTTAATTGTAAACACTAAAAGTAAATTCTTAAAAAATAAATTGTAAAGGGTTGAAATAAGATTAGAATATTCATTTTGGTGTTGCTTGTCAATTTGTAGGAAGAGCCAATAGAACGCCTTAGCATTCCTGATGTACCTAAAGAACATTTTGGTCAAAGACTTCTTGTAAAATGTTTATCACTCAAGTAAGTATTTTTTTTACTGTATTACTTTTATTTTTGGGGGTAATATTTTGATTAGTAGCATAACAAAACCTTACTAGATTTTATACTTGTATATGTGTCCTTTTGAGAAGTATTTTTCTCTACCTCATTTTAAACACTATTCAATATTCAAACTTAATGTAGAAAGCTAAGCTTTAGAGCATTTTTGAGCTACAGCTATACAGTTAGTTGTAAAACTTGGAAAAGCATTCACTGTACTCTCTTGATGAGAAATATAAACAGAAAATATCTTTTTCTCTAAAGAGGTGATTTTATATTTGTCACATAGTAGGCTTTGTTATTTGAAGATCTTTTTTTTTTTTTTTTTCTTTTTTTCTTTTGCAGTACTGGAGCTTTTTAACTAAGGGGATTTGACCAGCCCAGTTTTTTGTGATAGGGTTTTTCAAGGTAGGGTCTTGCAAATTATTTGCCCAGGCTGGCTTCAAACTGCGATCCTCCTGAACTCTGCTTCCTGAGTTGCCAGGATTAGAGGCATGAGCCACCTGCACCCAGCAAGATTTTAAAGTATTTTTCCCTTCTTTAAAAAACTAAAGAAGGGACACCAGTGTCTCATGCCTGTTATTCTAGCTACTTGGAAAGCTGAAATTGGGAGGAGGATTGAGGTTCAAGTCCAGTCCTGGCAAATAATGCAAGCTTAAGGCCCTTAGTTTGAACCCCAGTACCGTCAAAAAAAAAAAAAAAAAAGACTTCATCACGTGTGGTGGCTTAAGCCTGTAATATTAGGTACTTAGGAGGCAGAGATTGGAAAGAGTGTGGTTTAAGGCTGGCCTGGACAAAAGTTTGGGCGACTCAATCTCAACCAATGAAAAAGCTGGGTGTGGTGGTACATACCTGTCATCGAAGCAACTTGGAAAGATAAATAGGAAGATCACAATCTGGGTATAAATGTGAGACCCTATTCAAAAAAAATGCCTAAAGCAAAAAGTGCTAGAGGTGTGGCTGAAGTGTAGAGTGCCTGCCTAGCAAGTACAAGGCCTTGAGTTCAAACTGCAGTACTACCCCCCAAAAAAATAGGTAAAGGAGGCTGGGTGTGGTAATTCCAGTGTAATTTCAGCTAATGGGGAGGCAGAGAGGTAGGAGCACTGCAGTTCCAAGGCCAGGCAAAGTTAACATGAGGCCCTATCTGAAAAATAAACTAAAAACAAAAGTACTGAGTACATGACTCAAAGCATTAAATGACTTGTGACATCATTGAGGTGATTTATCTTACATTTGTATTCTGCATTACAAAGTACTTTTTCTTATTTCATGCTGTCTTCAGAGTAATTCTGTAAGCTAGGTATTATTTTCTTCATCTTACAATGAAGAAATCAAGTTTCAAAAGCATGAGCATAAGTTAATTGACATGCTCAGTATTATGTAGGAAATGGAAAAAACTATATGCTCTTTTCATTATAACATGTTAATATTATAAATTAATTCTAACTTGAGGAAAAATGTTTCTAAAAGAAGCAACTCATAGTGACAGATCACTTTTGTGTATAATTATGGCAATTTTCTTTTCTTTGAAAGCTAAGGCTTTATGTATTTAGTTAAATTTATCCAGCAACCTGTTTGATAGATTTAAGTGTCTTGAGTCTTTTGAATACCTGGCCACTTAACTTAATACTTATTGTATTAAAATCTTTTTAAAAAACAGCTTTATTACTATATAATTTATATATCACAAAATTTATCCTTTTAAAGTACACATATCAGAATTGTCTATTCATAGTGTTTTGCAACCATCACTACATGCTATTTATTTAGTTTAGTTTGGTTTTGTTTTTTGATGGTACTGGGGTTTGAATCAGGGCTTTGTGTTTGCGAGGCAGATTCTCTATCACCACAGTCCACTACTGTCTAATTTTATAACACATTTATCACCACAGAAAGCAGCTCTATATCTGTATTGGTCTGCTTGGGCTGCCATATCAGGATTCCATAGATGGGGTGATTTACACAACAGGAATTTATCTCTCACAGTTCCTGAGGCAGCGGGTTGGTTTCTGGTAAGGCCTTTCTTCCTGGTGTGCAGATAGTTGCCTTTTCTCTGTATCCTTACATGGTCTTTCTTTGTGCACAGATAGAGGTCTCTAGTATCTCTTCCTCTTTGTATAAGGAAACCCAATTCCATGGGATTATGTCCCACCCTTAGGAATTCATTTAACCTTTATTATCGTCCTGTGTTTAGATTGTCACATTTAAGATTAGGGCTTTAACATAAGAATTCTACAGGGAATCCATTCAGTCTATAACAATACTCATCGCAACTTACCCTGCGTTCTCTCTTCCTCTGTGCCCCTGCAGACCACTGACTTACATTCTGTTTCTATAAGTTCACCTATCTGTAGTTCATGTAAACAGAATTATAAAAGATGTGACTTTTGTTTGTAGCTTCTTCACACAGCATGTTTTCATGGCTCATCTCTGTTGTAGTGTATACCAGTAATTGTTTATATGGCTGAACAGTATTCCACTCAGTGGCTATACCACATTTTGCTTATTTATTGGTCAGTTAATGAACATTTGGAGTATTTCTACTTTGAAGTGCATGTTTTTGTTCATATGTGGAATCAAGACCTAAAATAACAACAACAACAAAAAGAATCTGACATGATTGTAAAAGGGAGACTGGGGGGAGGGGAAGAACTAATGGGAGAGGAGAAAGTGAGGGGGGGTGAGGGAGAAGGTGAATATTACATTTAATGTAATTACATTTTATGAAGTTACATTTTATGTATATGTATGAAATAGCATAATGAAACCCACTAAAACCGGTTAAAAAGGAGGGGGAATAGGGAGAGGAGTTAAGAAAGAGTGATATAAATGGGGTAAATTTGATCAAAGTACATACATTATATGTATGTATAAAAATATCACAATGAAAACCCTTTGTACAATTAATTTATGCTAATAAAATTTTAAATAACATTAAAGTTACTTCCTATTTGGGACTGGCAGAGTGGCTCAAGTGATAAGAGTACCTGCCTAGCAAGCATGAAGCCCTGAGTTCAAACCCCATTGCCTCCAAAGAAAAAAAAATGTTTTACCTCCTATTAAAAAATAATAGCTTTATTGACATATAATTTCTATATTATGCAGTTTACTCAATGTATACACAGTATATATAATTCACCAGTCATTCACCCCCTTTACCACAGTATTCAGTTCACTGAGTTTTGTTATATTCACATGTGTATGCAACTTTCATCATAATAAATTTTAAAGCAGTTTCATTACCTGCCGTCTGTCTTTGTCTCTATTTCTGTTCTGTCTGCCTCTATCTGCCTGTCTTTGTATGTGAGTAACCTGATTACCAGTTAGAAAGTGATTAGTGCCACCAAAGGGGTATAAAATGCCATGAGTATTTTAGGAAGTTTAGGAATAAATGTAGCTGGAGAAATTAAGAAGGGTTACATTAGAGAAGGTAATAGTTACTTGAGAGTGTGACAGGTAAGTGTGAAAAGTATATTTTAGTAGGATGGTATAATATAGGTAAAGGCACAAAGGTAGAAAAGTGCAAGGTAGTGAGATAATTTAGTTTTGTAATCAGAATTTCTAACTATATCTTTTAAATGTTTTTTAAAATTAGTTTATGCTTTTTGTTTATAAGGTTTGAGATTGAAATTGAGCCCATTTTTGCAAGTTTGGCGTTATATGATGTCAAGGAAAAGAAGAAGGTAAGGTTATGTAATTTGATTGTAATCATTTGTCTTAATCATTGATTTCAGAAACCGCTTTTTTAGGTTGTTTTATAAGATAAGTAATGATTTTTTGAACAGTATTAAACATGGATCTTTGAAAAAGGAAATAGGAATTTAATTTATCAAACTACTGAGATATTTTCTCATTAGAAAATAATTTAAACTAGTTTTTGTTTCATTGAAAGAGTTTCAAAAGCAAGTAGCAGGAACAATTTTCTTTTAATTTAAGGAATAGACAAGACAGCATAAGAAAAGCATTTTAGGCAAACAATATGTAAAAGTTAAGAATAGTGACAACTGAAATTTTATTGACATAATTTTCAACTTCTCAACAGCTAAAAGATGACTTTACATATATTTTAAATATTCTATCTTAGGGAATGGTTTTAGTTTTATGATGGTATCTTTATTACACTTGGTTTTCAGTGACTACCTTATACATTTTTTAATTTAAAATTCCAAGCCTAATGTGTAGTAGAAAGTTAAAGTGTCTTCATTGAACTATGTTGTCAATATATGATATATGGTGGATTTCTTTAGTAGAACTCTCCTCCATCAGCTTTATTTGCTAAATGAAAACTGTTGAGATATTATTCATGTAATTTTTAAAAAACTCAGTTTAAATTGAGTCATTTATTTCTGTGATAATTTCTTTATATACTTTGTATATTTTACTCAAAAGTGTTTGCAATATGACTCTTTAGAAAATGTTTGTTATATCCCAAATAACTTATACATTTCTTTTGCTTTATGTTAGACCTCTAAAGATTGTTTGGCAGCACTGGGGTTTGAACTTAGGGCTAGGGCTTCCTAGGCAGGTGCTGTATACTGGAGTTACTTCCTTAGCCCTACACATGTCATGATTGGTGTCACTGAAATACTTACAAGCTATGGGTTATAGTATAATGTCCTAATACCTATAACATTTAAAGAAGACTGGGTATGTGTGATTTTTATGAGCTTTTAAAAAATGTGCAGAGTTTAAAATTAAATATATGAATGTATTATTTTTAGATTTCAGAAAATTTTTATTTCGACCTTAATTCTGAGCAGATGAAAGGATTATTACGTCCACATGTACCACCAGCTGCCATTACTACCCTGGCAAGATCAGCTATTTTTTCTATAACTTACCCTTCCCAAGATGTTTTTCTTGTAATAAAGGTGAGAATAATGTTAAATATATTTGTTTACTATATAGTGTCTATATTCTTGTCCCTATCAATATTGGAAACCTTTTTTTTTTTTTGCTGGTACTGGGGTTTGAACTCGAGCTTTACACTTGTTAGGCAGGTGCTCTACCATTTGAGCCACTCTGCCAGCCCCTTTTTGTGTTGGGTAGTTTTGAGACAGGGTTTCGAACTATTTGCCTACACTGGTTTTGAATCACTATTCCCCTGATCTCTGCCTCCCGAATTGCTAGGATTACAGGCATGAGCCATTTAACGCCCAGCTAATATTGCAAACTTTTTAAGGGCAAAGATTTGACCTTTACCTGTTTTTCCATCATGATATTCCATAACACATTATTAGACACATACTAAAGTGCTACCTGATTTTTCTCGAATGGATAGTTACATTAATCAGAATTCTCCAGGGTTTATTTTAAGGAATTGCTTCACATGATTATGAAATGTCTGCAATTGGTGGTTGACAAGTTGACTACAAATTCAGGTAAGGGTTAGTTGATTATGTACTCTTGAGTCCGAAGTCCACAAAGCAGCAGACTTGGAGCTCAGGAGGGTTTCTTAGCTATAGTCCTGAGGAGAAATCCTTCTGGAAAACTCAGTCTTTGCTCTTAAGCCCTTGAACTGACTTGATGAGGCCCACCCACACAATAGAGAATAATATACTTTACTCAAAGTCTACTGCTTTAAATATTAATCATCTCAAAAAAATACTTTCACAGCATTAGACTGGTGTTTGACCAAACACCTAGGTAGCATAGCCTAACCAAGCTAACATATAAAATTAACCATTATAGAACCTTGAGTGTAATTATATCACTCAGTTTCTAAATCATATAAATACTAAAAGCTAAATCATTGAGGTCACATAGCATTATGACTTGAATGTCAGCCAATTAAGAATAAGAATTACAATATAGACATGGTGGTGCATACCTGTAGTTAGAGCATTCAGGAAACTGCTGCTGGAAGATCTCAAATTTGAGGCCTTCTTAAGCTACATAGAGAGTCCCTATCTTAAGAAAAAAAATGTATGTAAATTCTAAAATCTAAATATTATTAAGCTACTTTGTGTAACTTAGAGAATAATTTGCCTTAACTTGACTTTGACTTGGGAGTTGCCTAAAGTATATTCCTTAATCTCTTTGTTTTATTTATATAAAATTAGCATAAAGAGGTTATTTATTTATTTATTTATTTTTTTGCAGCACTGGGGTTGTGAACTCAGGGCTTCATGCTTGCTAGGCAAGCCCTCTACCACTTGAGCCACTCTGCCAGCCCTGCTTTGTGTTGGGTATTTTTGAGGCAGGGTCTTGCAAACTATTTTCCCTGGCTGGCTTCTAACCACAATCCTCCTAATCTCTGCCTTCTGAGTAGCTAGGATTACAGGCATGAGCATGACACCCAGCATGAATTTTTATAATAAGATTATAAAGTGAATTGTTATGAAATGAATCCTCTTTATCCATAGGAATAGTGTTCTAATTCCTATGAATTCAGTTTAAAATAAATCTTAGTTACAATAAATTGTCCTGCAAACAAAAATTAAGAAGTAATTATCTTTAGAAATTCACATAAAAGAGTGAAATTTAGTTCTAGCAATGAGTGCAAATGAAAAATACAGAGTAATTTTACTTGGGGAAAATGGCAAGTTTTCATAAAACAATGTATTAATGGGAACTAGTAAAATAAAGATAATTAGAATATTGATTGGTTGAAAATGAGATTTAGTGATGAGATTGGTTGTCATCAAGAGAAGGAATGTCTAAGATAGGATTAAGAATAAGACATTGAACTTCAATATAAGTAAATAGGTAAATCATGATGCATTCAAATAATGTAGTGTTATGGCCATTAAAGCCATGATTTGGAAGAATTTTTTTTAACAACTTTTGTTAGCATATGTTAGTTGTACAGAGGGCCTTTATTATGATATTTATATGCATGGATATGATCTATCTCGGTCAAATTCATCCCCTGTATCATTTTCCTCATCCCCCTCCCCTCTTAAAACAACTTCAACAGACTTTATTGTTTTATTTTCATGCACCTGTATAAGGTACTTTATACACCTCCTTCCCTCTCTATTTGCTCTCTCCCCTCCAGCTGGTGCCCACCCCCAAATAACCTGTTTCACATTCTGAAGAATTTTTATTGTATATTCATATGAAATAATGTTTAATACAAAACTATATACCATGTGATCCTACTTGAAAAATACAAACATACACATAAAATAATATACACACACAAATACATATATGTATATATAAAGAATTTCTGATAATTTCAATAAAAGAACAAATGAAATTGTTATTTAAATCTTAAAGAAATGTATTCTTTCATCACTTTGGTCTACCATGTTGTATGTATGTGTATGTTTAAAGGAGGAAAGATTTATTTTGGTTCATGGTTTCAGCCCATTATTTTTATTTCTTGACAGAAAAATTGCCTTGACATACATATTGGATAGTTACAAAAACAAAAAGATAATACAAAACCAAAAAGATAATACCCAGTGGGACATAACAATAAACATTTATTTAGTTTGTGTATCTAAATTGTCTGTTGTTCAGCCAATCCAGGCTGTACTCTTTTCAGATAGTTGTTTGCCTTTAAGTGTCTGTAGACAGTAAATTTAGCCAGAGGTATTCTTGTCTGTATGTCTCTTCTTTTGTAGCAGGATAGTCTGGCATATTCTCATGGTCACTGCAGAAGTTCCAAAGAGCACAGTCAGTTGAATAGGTGCTTTTCAAGTCATTGGTCACATCACAGCAGCTAACATCCTATTGGCCAAAACAGGTCATGTAACAGAATATAAACTCAGGGAACTGGCATATATACATGGTCTCTTTCTTGGAAGAAACTGCAGTATCATGTGGCAAAGAAGCATAGGAAATTATGGCTGTTAGTGAAGTGTATTACTGCATAGGATATTGGAATTCTGGCCCAGTCAGGATTATTGATTGCTTATTTTTATCATCTGTTTGTTAGTATAGTTGCTTTCAGGTAGATATATGCAGGGGTTGTCAGAGTAGATTTGCCTTTACATTTTAATTTTATTATTTATTTATTTCTGCTATGTTTATGGTATTGTTTCAATTTTGTTTTAATTTACAATTCCCTAAACTAAGACTATTGAATAAATTATTGACCATGGGATATTTTATTTTGTGAAGTGCTTATTCAGATTGCTCTCTTATTTTTAACAAGTTTCTAAGTGATTTTTAGTATAATATACATAAAATACATGAATTTTAGGTGTTCCACTGAGTACATTTATAAATGTACATATATGTGTATCCATGTAATATGCCTGCATAACCACATGCAGTTTATCTTATTAATTTGTAAAAGTTCTTTATATATCTTTTGTTCATTAATTCAAAGTATCAATTTTAATATGAGCTAGATTCCTTATATACTTGGTTTGGTTTCTAGACTTTCATCCTATTTTACTTATGTCTTTTAAAAAAAATCTTTAAAAATTTCATAGGGGAAAGTGAGTTACAGAAAACTATTGGATTAGTCACTTAAGAATATTATTGTATGAGTTGTCATTTTTAATTGGAATTTTGCATCTTGATTTATTGGAGATAAATTTATGCTGGTGACTTTTCAAAGTATTTTTAATTGTGATAAAATATAAAATTTATTATCATAACCATTTTTTAGTGTATTTTAAGTATATTAATACTCTTTTGTAATCATTCTCCAGAAGTGTTTCATCCTGGAAAACTAAAGTTCTATACCCCTTAAATGACTCCCCATTATATCCTTTACTTAGCCCCCAATAGAACCACTGTTCTATTTTTTGTCTTTGACTACTTGAGATATTTTACATGAGTGAAATCATACAGTATTTGTCTTTTTGTGATTGGCTTATTTAACTTAACATGATGTTTTCAGAGTTCATCCAGTTTTTAACATGTTAGAATTTCTTTTTAAAGCTGAATTGTATTTCACAATATGTATATACTCACGCCTTTGCTTATCCATCTGTCCAAGTTGATGGACACTTGGATTACTTCTGTCCTTTTGCTGTTGTAAATAATGCTGTCATAAATGTAAGTGTATAAATAATCTGTTTGAGTCTTTGCTTTCAATTCTTTTGTATCTATACCTGGAAGTAGAATTGCTGGGTCATATAATAATCCTATTTCTAAATTTTTGAGGATACTGTTTTTCAAAGTGACTCCAACATTTTACATTTTATATGAATTCTTTGGAGAAATCTCTATTCAAGTCATTTGCTCATTTGTTAATTAGGACTTTTTTGTTATTAGAGTTCTTTACGTGTTCGAGATACTAATTTCTATTTTGATAAATGATTTGTAGACAATTTTCTTCTGTTCTGTAGATTGCCTTTTCATTTTGTTTATTCATTTTTTTTGGACACAGATGTATTTTATTTTTATTTATTTTTAAGATTTCTGTTTTTTTCATTTTGTTTATTCTTACCTTTAATGTAGTAAATGTAAGTTTTGATATAGTCTGATTTATCTACTTTTATTTGTATTGCCTGTGCTTTTGGTGTTATATTTAAGAAATCATTTCCAAATCTAATATCACGATGCCTTTCTTGTTTTCTTCCTGAAGCTTTAGATCTTACATTTAGATGTTTGGTCCACTTTGGCTTAATTTTTGTATGTGATATAAAGTGAGGGTCACTCTTTTGCAGTTGAATACACAGTTTTCCACAGCAGTACTTGTAAATATTATCCTTTCTCTATTGAGTGGTCTTTGCATCCTTGTCAAAAATTATTCAACCATGTATGTGGGAGTTTATCTGACTTTCCCTTCAGTTCCATTCTCTCCATATGTCTTTCTTCATTTGAGTACCACCATTTTTTTTGTGGTACTCAGGGCCTCATGCTTGCTAGGCAGATGTCCTACCACTTGAGCCACTCTGCCAGCCCTTTTTTTTTTAATTTTTATTTTTTATTGTTCACATGTGCACACAATGCTTGGGTCATTTCTCCCCCCTGCCCCCACCACCCCCTTACCACCCACTCGCCCCCTCCCTCTCCCCCTCACTCCTCAGTACCTGGCAGAAATTATTTTGCCCTTATCTCTAATTTTGTTGAAGAGAGAGTATAAGCAATAATAGGAAGGAACAAGGGTTTTTGCTAGTTGAGATAAGGACAGCTATACAGGGAGTCGACTCACATTAATTTCCTGTGCATGTGTGTTACCTTCTAGGTTAATTCTTTTTGAGCTAAACTTTTCTCTAGTTCCTCCTGGTCCCCTTCTCCTATTAGCCTCAGTTGCTTTTAAGGTATCTGCTTTAGTTTCTCTGCGTTGAGGGCAACAAATGCTAGCTAATATTTTAGGTGTCTCACTTATCCTCACCCCTCCCTTGTGTGCTCTCGCTTTTATCATGTGCTCGAAGTCCAATCCCCTTGTTGTGTTTGCCCTTGATCTAATGTCCGCATATGAGGGGAAACATACGATTTTTGGTCTTTTGGGCCAGGCTAACCTCACTCAGAATGATGTTCTCCAATTCCATCCATTTACCAGCGAATGATAACATTTCGTTCTTCTTCATGTGCCAGCCCTTTTTTGTGATGGGTATTTTTTGAGATAGGATCTTGCAAACTATTTGCCCAGGCTGGCTGAGAACTTTGATCCTCCTGATCTCTGCTTCGTGAGTAGCTAGGATTACAGGCAAGAACCACTGGTGCCTGGGCACACTGTTTTGATTACTGTCGCCTTATAATAAATTTTCACATCTAGAAGTGTAGAATCACCAACTTGTACATTTTATCCATGTTTGTTTTGATTATTCAGATTCCTTTGAGATTCTAGATGGATTTCAAGGTTGACTTCTCAATTTCTACAAGAAAATCATTAGAGTTTTGATAGGAATATCACTAAATATATATATTATCTTGAGTAGTATTGAAATCTTAATGTCATTAAGTCTTTCAGTTCATGAACATGCATATCTTTGCATTTATTTGTGTCTGCTTTTCTGTCAGCAGCATTTTATAGTTTTTGATGCATGGTTTTTTTTTACTTCTTCATTAAGGTTATTCCTAAATATCTTATTTTTTTGATAGTATTGTGAATGGAATTGTTTTCTTAATTTTCTTTTCAGATTCTCATTGTTAGTATGTAGATTTTATATCCTATAACTTTGTTGAATTTGTTTATTAGTTTTGATAAGCATTTTGTTTTGTTTTTGCTATGTAACCCAGGCTACCCTAGAACTCACCGTGTCGCTCAGGCAGGCCTTGAACTCATGAGTCTTGTGTCTCAGCTACTCAGGTGTGAGATTACAGGAATGTACTGTCATGCCCAGTATATGGTTTTTGTTTGTTTGTTTGGTGGAATCTTAAAAATTTTCTACATAGAAGATCATACTGTCTGCAGAGATCATTAAATTCTTCTTTTCCAATTCAGATACCTTTTATTTAATTTTCTGGCTTAATTGCTCTGGCTTTGACCTCCAGTACTATCTTGAGTAGAAGAGTCTAAAGCAGGTATTCTTGTCTTGTTTCTGATTAGCTTTTCACCATTGAATGTGATATTAGTTGTAGACTTTTTATATATGGCCTTAATTATGCTGAGGTAGTTTCCTTATATTCCTAGTTTGTTGAGTGTTTTTTACCAGGAAAGGGTGTTGAGTTTTGTCTAGTGCTTTGTCTGCATTACTTGAGATGATCGTATGTTTTTTTTTTTCTCTCCCCATCATTCTGTTCATGTGTGGAATATTACATTGATTTTAGTATATTCAACTATCTTTGTATTTCAGGCCAACTGCTTTATTTATTTATGTTTTTGGAAGTACTGGGGTTTTAACTCAGGGCCTTGTACTTGCTAGGTGACTTTTTTTTTTTAAATGTAAATAAACTTCCATTTTTTGCCTCTGACAGCTAGAAAAAGTCCTACAGCAAGGAGACATTGGAGAGTGTGCAGAACCATATATGATTTTCAAAGAAGCTGATGCCACCAAGGTAGAATGTCATGCCCCTCGTTTTCCCACCTTATTACTAATATAATTTGGGAGAAAACATACAAGGCATTCTTAATTCATTTCTTCTGTTGGTCTACTTATTTTCTTCCTTTTTATTTCTTTTATTATCCATCTTGTGTCACATGCTGTACTATTCTTAAACTACTCTTAAAATCTCTTCCACTCAAACTAATTGATTTTCTTTTTCTAGCACTGGGGATTAAACCCAGGGCCTCATGCATGCTAGGCATGTGCTCTACCACTTGAACCTCCACTTTAGCCCTAATTAATTTCTTAATATTTTTCCTTGAAGAGAACTAAGTTAATTCAGTTTAACTCCTAAATCATTAAAATTTTCTTTATTTACATTGATAGAACTTTTCCTAGCAAGAAGAATTCCTGGCTTTCATCAGACTCCCAAATAATCAGGGAATGTTGTAATAATTGAGGCTCTGTTTTGCCGTCAGATGCCTAATTTCTAGAATTTGAATAAACTTATAATTACCAAAAATGTTATGAATTAGTACCAAATTCCAGAAAGCCTGAATTTTCTACAAGAATACAGGTGATCCCTGGATCTTTGAACACAAGATTTAATACTGGATCAGCCAGCAGAGAAATGCTTGAGGAATACTGGACAAGCCACCAAAATCTAGAAACTTTTGTTTCTATTTTTCTGAGAATTAGAACAAAAACTGAGCCTTTCTGCTCATGTTGATAGATCTGAGCATAAGATACTCTTCTCTGGTGCTTGGTTATCTGATTGAACTCCATGTTAAAATATTCTGCCTTTCCCCAGGTTATCATTTTACAAATTAAAGTTGCTCTGCTATATGGATTTCATAAGTATACCAATAGAATATATTTTTCTTTTCCACATTTACATAGACTGATATAAGTAAGAATATTTGATATTTAGGTTCCTAAAACAAGAACTTCTTTTGGAGGTACACTAGATACAATGATAAATATTGCTACCATTTAACTAGCTTTCCAACTTTTCCCAGTCCTCAGTTCTGGGTTAGAACTGTTGTTAGAGTATACGTCAATGCACATCATGTGTGGAAAGAGTATGTGAGAGAGGTGGTAGAGGTTTTCAATCTTCGGCTGTTGTTTGGCTCTTAGTATTTGTTTCAGAGTAAGCTAAAAGTTGAACCAGCTTCAAGATGTCTTTCAAAATATGCATGTACTGTTTGGACCATCAGTCATTTTCTAGAGTTTAGTACTTTTTATAGTACTTTTTTTGGTCTTTGCTTCTTTTATTATACTCTGGACTTATTTATCACTGGTCTGTTTGTGGCTCCCACTCCCTCCTCATGGGTTGCTATAATTTGGGGACTAGTTCCATCTTCTGTGGAGTAGTAAAATTTAACATATCTTAACCTAGAAAATTTTATAGCTCACAGTTGCTAACAGGACTATGGTTGTATTTCCTTTCCTAAAATAGTATTTGCAAACATAAACATGCTTGCACTTGCTCTCCTTTTATTTCCTCCCAAGATGATGAAATCACAAACAGAAATTCCAAAGACTTACTCTACATATACATTTGTGGAATGAGTTGAGATTTTTATTTTGTTTGTTATTTGACCTCTGCCAGGTACTCTTTTTTTTTTTCTTTCAAGTGTAATTATATGTAAAGTTCTGTTTTGCAGAATAAAGAAAAATTGGAGAAGCTTAAAAGTCAAGCTGATCAGTTTTGTCAAAGACTTGGGAAATATCGCATGCCTTTTGCTTGGACTGCAATCCATTTAATGAATATTGTTAGCAGTGCTGGGAGTTTAGAGAGAGATTCTACAGAAGTAGAGATCAGCACTGGAGGTAAGATGTTTTATATAAAATATTTCTAAATGTACAGTTTTTATTTGTAGACTCTGCAATGTGTTGTATAAAAAGGACTTTTTTAGCTGGGCATGGTGGTTCGCATCTGTATTCTCTGCAGTGGGGAGGTTAAGGTAGCAGGATTGCAAGTTTGAGGCCAGCCTGGGCTACATAATGAAACCATGTCTCAAGAAACCAAAAGCAAAGAGAAGGATTTTCATTGGACACCTTTATTGAAATATAATTTGCGTATCATACAGTTCACCATTTAAAAGTGTATAATAGAGTGGATTTTGCTATATTCACAGAGTTATGAAACCACTGCTACAATCTGTTTTTGGAACATTTTTGTACCCAGTAACAATTACTACTCATTCCCTCAAATTTCCAAACCTGGCCCTAAATAACCACTAATATACTTCCTGTCTTTATGGATAACCTATGTCAGACATTTCATACATATAGAATTATTCAGTATGTCTTTTGCGGCTAGCTTCTTTCACATGGCATAATATTGTCACAAGGTTCATCCATGTTGTAGCATTTATTGGTATTTGATTTCTTTTTGTTGCCAAATGATAGTCCATTTTATTGATATACTATGCTTTTTTGTTTTTAATTAGTTTATGGTTATTTGGGTTTTTCCCCACTTTTTTATCATTATGAATAATGGTGCAGTGAACAATCATGTATAAGCTTTTGTGTGGACATATGTTTTATTTCTCTTGAATATATAGGAGTGAAATCACTATATCTTGTGGTACTTCTCTGTTTAGCATTCTGAGGAATTGTTGTTTTGACTTCCAGTGCAGCTGCACTTTCAGAAGTTCTGCTAGCAATGTATGAAAGTTCCAGTTTCAGCTGGGCATGGTGGTACGTGTCTGAAATTCCAGCTACTGGGGAAGTGGAGGCAGGAGGATGTCAGTTTCTCCAAATGTTTGCCAATACTCATTCTTATCTGTCTTGATTATAGCTCTTCTAGGTCAGGTGATACGGTATCTCATTGCAGTTTGGATTTGACTTTTCCTGATAGCTGATAGTGCTAAGTATCATTTTTCTCTGTGTTGGCTGGTTGTGTATTTTTTTTTGGAGATAAGTGTATTTATATCCTTTACTCATTTTTAAATGGCTTTGTGGTTGGACTTTTTATTATTTAGTTAATGCCTGATTTTTAAATGGGTTTTTCATCTTCTTGTCATTGAGTTGTAAGAATTCTTACAACTTATGTCCTGGACATAGTTCTTTTCTTTTTTCTTTTTTGTTTATTCATATGTGCATACAGTGTTTGGGTCATTTCTCCCCCCTACCCCCCACCCTCTCCCTTCCCCCCTCCTTCCCCTCCCTTCCAGGCAGAAACTGTTCTGCCTTTATCTTCAATTTTGTAGAAAAGAGAGTATAAACAATAATAAGAAGGACAAAGCGTTTTTGCTAGTTGAGATAAGAATAGCTATATAGGGAGATTCCTAGCATTGCTTCCATGTACATATGTGTTACATTCTAAGTTGCTTCTTCTTGAACTGACCTTTTCTCTAGTTCCTGATCCCCTTCTCCTATTGGTCTCTGTCACTTTAAAGTTTCTGCATTAGTTTCTCTGAATTGAGGACATCAAATACTATCATGTTTTTTGTGTTTCTTACCTATCCTCATACCTCCCTTGTGTGCTCTTGCCTTACCATGTGACCAAAGCTGGACATAAATTCTTTATCATTAGACATGATACTATTTATGATTTTATAAATATTTTCTCCTACTCTAGGTTCTTTTCTTTTATAATATTCTTTGTAGCACAGAAGTTTTAGATTTCGAGGACATCCAGTTTCTCTACTTTCTTTGTTTGCTGTGCTTTTGGTGGTATATTTAAGAAACTGTTAACTAACCAATATCAAGAAATTTAATTGTCTGTTTTCTTCCTAGAATTTTGTAGTTTTAGCTTTTATATTTAGATTTATAAACTATTTTTAGTTAATTTTGTATAAAGTGTGAGGTAAGGGTTCAACTTCATTCTCTTCAGGTGGATATTTAGTTTTTCCAGCACCATTTGTTGAAAAGGCAATTCTTGACCTATTGAATGATTTTTGCATCCTTTTCAAAAATCTGCTAATTATGGGATTAGGATTTAGCTCAGTGGTAAAGTGCTTGCCCATTAAATACAGACCCCTTCTGACCAGTTCAGTCCCTAACACCAAAAAAGAAAGAAAGGAAAGAAAGAAGGAGGGAGGGAAAAGGAAGAAAGGAATAGAAGGAGGAAGGAAGACAAAGAAAATCTATTGATCATAGATATGTGAGTTTATTTTTAGCCTCTCAATTCTATTTATTGATCTATATGTGTATCCTTATTCCACTATTGTATTACTTAAGCTTTTAGTAAGTTTCCAGACTTTCTGGAGTAGAAAGGGTCCTTAAGGTCCTTAAGGCTATTTTGAGTTCCTTATATTTTCATATATAATTTCTGATCAGCACTTAATTTCTGTATAAAGGCTGCTGGGATTGTCGAGGACTTACATTGAATCTATAAACTAATTTATTGATTATTGCCATCTGAACGATGTTAAGTCTGCAAATCCAGGATCCTTAGATGTTTTCCCATTTATTTAGCTCTGTCACAGTTTTTTTTCTTACAATATTAATAGTTTTCAGTGTATATTCTGGTCTTGTTGAATTTATGCCAAAGTACTTTATTGTATTTTGCTACTATTTTAAAGACTTATTTTCCTAATTCCATTTTTCAGAATTCCATTCCTAGTGCATAAAAATACAATTGTCGTTGACTGGTCCTAGCTACTGCAGAAGCTGAAGTGGGAGGGTCACGTACACCTAAGAGTTCAAGGGTAGCCTGGGAAATAACAAGGCCCTGTCTCAAAAACAAAACCAATTAAGTTTTCTATATCTATGTATCTTATACCCTGGAACCTATTTTTGAATTTTGTTCAAAATTTAGAATTGTTATTATTAGCCTACAGTTGTTTCTTATATTGTTATGCAATCCTTTATATCTATAAGGTTTAGTGATCTCAACTCTTCAGTTTATTAGTATATTAATTTGAGTCCTTTACCTTTTTTCTTCAGTCTAACTAAGTAGGTTTGTCAATTTTATTTTTTTGAAAAAGCATGTTGGTTTTATTGACTTTCTCTGTTTTTTTAGTTTCTGTTTCACTTAATTCCATTTCCACTCTCCTGTTTTGTATCCTTGTTTTCTTTGTGTTTAGTTTCTCTTTTGTAGTTTATTGAACTGTCAGATTATGTTACTAGTTGAGATATTTCTTTTTCATGTAAGTTTTTTTAGATGTAAATTTCCTTTACATCTAACACTGCTTTAGCAGTATTGCAAATATTTTTTATGTTGTACTTAGATTTTTATACATTCCATTTTCTAATTTTCCTTATTAATATCTCTTTTTTTCAATAGCTTTTTAGAAATGTGCTATTTTACTTACGTATTTATGAATTCCCCAATTTTTAAATTATTAATTCTTAGAGAACATATTTCATTTTATCTTAATTCTTTTGGATTTATTTTATCTTTTTTTAATATCTTACACTCAATGTTAGCCAAAATGCTGAGAAGTGAAATTTTATGTCTTGTTCTATAGACTGTCTTGGAGAATGCTTTGTAATTGCTTGAAAAGAATGTGTATTCTGGTCTTGCTTAGTTGAGTAGACTATATATGTCCGCTAGGAAAAAATTGTAGTTTTTTCTAAGTCTTCTATTTCTTTGTTGGCTTCAGTCTAGTGCTCTTTTTTTTTAGAGTTTGAACTCAGGACCTTGCACTTACTAGGCAAGAACTCTCCTACTTAAGCCTGATGATTTTAAATTATGCAATTGTCTTGCATGAGTGAGGCCTTAGATTTGAACCCCCATACCAGAAGGAAAACAGTGCTTAGTTGGTTTAAATGCAAGTTGTCTTTTGACTCTGTTTTATACTCAAGTCGTAAGACTTGAGGGACCATTATGTGGTTACTAAAATTTCCACTGTGGTGAATATACTATATAAATATACTATAAAATATAGTACATGTATAGGTCTCCTGCCACTGTTCTTTATAGCGTATCTTTGGTCATATGCTAAATCTTTGTTTATAAGAGACTTATTTTTACACTGGTGAAATTGTAAAAAAGGAAACCAGAAGATTCAGGTATAGTGCTTTCCTACTAATCTTCCCTATAAGTAAAATTCTTCTAGTATAATCATATACTGAATATATAATTTTCAACTTTGGTGGATTCTTTCTTATGTTTGGAAAGATGATTTAAAACAAATTTTAAATTTTATGAAAATGAATACCTTATTTTTTTCCCTTGATAGAGCGAAAAGGGTCTTGGTCAGAGAGAAGGAATTCTAGTATTGTTGGTAGACGATCACTTGAAAGGACAACAAGTGGAGATGATGCTTGCAACTTGACCAGCTTTCGACCTGCCACTCTCACAGTGACAAATTTTTTTAAGCAGGTATTGTTCTGTCATGTAGGAATTCTGGGGAGATGTTTGTAAATAAGTTTCTTTTAGTTTTAGAAGAGTAGTAATTGTACATGCTTATGAGTCTAACTTTAAGAATTTTTAAAACTTTAAGAATAAAATGCAAGGAATAATAAGACTCTAAAAATAAGAAATAATTGATATTATCTGCTATTTTGTCATTAGATTTATTTAAATGTTGACTCTGACATTATCAAGGCATCAAAATTAGTCTTTCACACCTATATTTTGTTTTTTGATTGTAATAGTGTAACTTTTCTTAAACATTGATTTCTGAATTTCCTGAGTGAGTGAGAGTGCTTTCATCTATCTTCTCAACACAAGTTTTTCTAACTTAAACTACTTTATCTGTGGTACGTGCAATAGAATTTTTAGACCCCAGTAGTGCACTTCCGTGCTAAAATGCTGTCAGTGTTTTTAAGAGGTGAATTTGTATATCCAAAAGGTTTTTTTCATCAAAGATATTTTTCTTTTCATCAGGCACTGGTGGCTCATGCCAGTAATATTAGCTACCTGGGAAGCTAAGATGGGGAGGATCGTGGTTTGAGGCTAATCAGCTAAAATTTCTTGAGACCTTACCTCAACCATAGCTGGGCACAATGGTGTGCCTCTGCCATCCAGAATTATGTGGGAGGCTGAGATGGGGAGATTACTGTTCCAGGTCAGTCTGGGAAAAAATGTTTGAGAGTCCCCTCAATGGAAAAATGCTGGGCATGGTGGTGCTTGCCTATCATCCCAACTATGGCCGAAAGTGTAAAATAGGAGAATTGTGGCGGGTCTTGGCAAAAAAATAAGACCCTATCTCCATGCTAGAGATGTGGCTCAAGCAGTAGATTGCCTGGCTAGCAAGCACATTGCCCTGAATTCAAGCCCTAGTACTACCACCACTCCTCAAAAAAAATGTATTTTATTTTTTGCAAGTCTGTTCTTTGTAATTCATATCAAATCAGTGCTTTTCAGATGTCATCTGTTACCTGTTTGTAGTAATGGAAATCAGTTTAGTAGATAACAGCGAGCTTACAAAAACAATAAAGTGGAATAGAAAAAATTATAGTGTATTGCACATATTGAGGTTAAATATTGCTTCAGAGAGCAATGCATTTGTGTGATTATATATATATTTATGACATATATGTATAAATGTTTGCAGTGGATTTCATACTGTGAGTCAAGAGCAGAAAATGTTGAAAAGTCTGTCAGAAGTGAACAGCAGATGGCCAGAATCACATAAAGGTGGGGAGAGGGCTGGAGGCATGGCTGAAGTGACAGAGTGTTTGCATAGTAAATACAAGACCCTGAATTCAAATCCTACTACGCTGAAGAAGAAAAAGTAGAAGGGAAAAAACTTGCATTAATGTGACAAACTGGAGAAGTATACCAACCATGTATTTTGGAGCAAATTAAAGGAAAATATTAAGAATTATCTCAAAATTCCTTCTTCTGAGGGGTTAACCTGAGGGTTAATTTGATCCCCTTTAGGCAGCAGCTCAGATTGGGGGGGGTGGCGGGAAGCAGGTAATAAGCTCTGAAGTGGTAAGGGTCTTTTTATTATAGACCGTAGTAAAAGCAAGGTCTAAAGAAGGCTATAGTGAGTGTTACTTGGATGAAGTAATAGGCCAAATACAGGGATGGAGCCAGTGGTATAGATTTGTCTTACTCAACATTTAAAAAAAAATTTTATCTGATGCACAATCTTGCAGATATATCATTACCCTTTCTCTTTACTGCTCCCGTTGCATGTCATTTCTACTATTTGCACAGGTTTCTTTTCATTTCTTCAACCTGCTGTACCATTGAACTGGTACTGTATACTTAAGTCAACAAGCCATCCACCCCTTTCCTATTTGTCCAATAAATATTTTTTGAGTACAGACATTATTTTTAAAATTTAAATTAAGTGTATTTTAACTGATAATAAAAAGCATACAAATTGTCCATATTAATGGTAAAATGGTGTTTTGTTACATGTATACGTTGCCTAATGTTTAAATCAGTTTAAACATATCTGTCTCCTCAGCATATGTCATTTGTTTGTTTTGCTTTGTTTCTTTTGGTGGCAGTGGGTCAGAACTCAGTATTACTACTCAAATTACTGTTTGAGCCACACCGCTAGACCTATCATTTCTTTATTGTGAAAACTTTACTTTTTTTGTTTTATTTTTTGTGGTACTGGGGTTTGAACTCAGGGCATACACCTCGAGCCACTCCTAGCCCTTTCTTGTGATGAGTTTTTTTCAAGATAGGGTCTCACAAACTATTTGCCTGGGCAGGCTTCGAACTGTGATCCTCCTGATCTCTGTCTTCTGAGTAGTTAGGATTAAAGGCATGAGCCACTGGTGCCTGTCCTTAATATACTTTCTTTATCATTTTTGAAATGTACAGTTCATTTTTCTTAATTTTAATAACCCTATTGTGCAATGAGTACTGGTAACTGGACACCAGTACAAAGTGCTATGAAAACTTAAATGATTGCTAGAAATACAGAGCAATGGAAAGCATTTGCAGTTTACATTATACAGTTCTATATTAAAAACATTTTTTAGCCATATGCATGTACTATTTTTTATAGGGTTTATTTTTTTGACAGTACTGGGGTTGAAGTCAGAGCCTCACACTTACTAGGCAGGCACTCTACCACTTCACCTACTCCCCCACCCCTTTTTGCTTTAGTTATTTTTCAGATGGGGTCCAGGCTGGCTTGGACTACTATCTTACTTATGCTTCCTGTGTAGCTGGGATGACAGGGGTGTGCACCACCACACCCAACTTTTTATTGCTTGAGATGGGGTCTCAAAACTTTTTGCTGGGGCTGGCCTCAAACTGCAGTCCTCTCTGCTTTTGCCTCCCAAGTAGCTAGGATTACAGGCTTGAGCCATGTACCCTGATATTTTTATAAGTATTTTTAATAGCTAGAAAATTATGTATCACACAAATGCATATTAAGGAAATGCAGAGAAAGCAGTTTTTTGAAGTGGAATTCAAGGCTCAAATTTCTCTTAAATGAAGTACAGAAACTGTCCTCCCAACCTAGTTTATGAGTGATTACTATCCATAGGTGGGATGTTATAGTAACCATGAGTGTTTATGTAGGGATTTAAAATGTATCAAGCCAAAATTATTAGAAATACGTGCAGATTTTAAAACAAAAATTAAACTCACAGTAGTTTTAAAGACATTTGTCTTACACATTGATAGGTGGATAAGCTCAGAAGTGCATGGCAGTAAATAAGCAATGTTGTAGAGGGAGTGTCAACTTGTGATCTAGGCTCGTTTACATGTTCACAGGTTGGCTGAGATCAGCTAGATTGACTTCTACTGAGAAGACTCTCAGTATGTCTCATCTTCTAGCTAGTGGCACAAATTTTAGAGAGGGGCAATCTAATTTGTGCACATTCTTTCTAAGTCTCAGTTTGCATCATGTTTTCTCATTGGCCAAAGCAAGTAACATGATTGAGCTTAGGAAAGAGAATTAAGCTCCACCCAGCAAAAGACATGGAAACAGACAGGGCCTAAAGCATGGAGGCCAGTAATAAAATTTAATATGTTAACTAAACAGAAATAATTAAGCCCAGAGATAATGTGAATGTGTTATGAGTAAGGCTAAAGATCTATATTCTATACAAAAGAAGAAGAGATTATACTGGTACAGCAGCTAATGGGACATTTACAATAATAAATTAATCATATTAGGTCATTGAAAAACTTCATGAAGTCACATTCTCTAACCATAACTCAGTAAAAGTAAAAACTATTTTAGGGGTATTAACAAAAAATGATAGTAATTATGAATCATTTTCCCAAATAGTGGGATAAAGGGAGATCTGTTCTGTCTCCTGTTTAGAATATAATAACAAACAAATGGGATATAGCTAAAGGTGAAATTTACTACTATAAAGTAGCCTCAAATATGTTCATTAACAAATAAGATAGTATGAAATATTGAAACATGACAATAAATTGTTAAAAGTGGTTAATTGGATTAATGATCAACTCTCTTAATAAAAAAGAAAATAAACCCTAGATATTTTAAGTGTAAGAAAAAAGGAGACAATATTAACAAACTGAAAATTTCATATTATTTAGATATGGTTCTTCCCTCCCCTCACTGATTGATGCATTTTGGAGTTTTCTTTCGGATGTTAATACCAGGATAGTTGTGATTTTGTTAACAGCAATATTTTTCTTACTTCTTTTTGTAAAAAATGTAGCCAGCCATACAGATTTTACATGTATGCAATTTGGTAATATAAAGTTGAAAAGACAAATGTGAACTAAAGAGTAACAAATTTATAATTCTCTCATGTTTTTACATTAGTCTGCTTTTCGGTTCTGTTTTATGTCTGTATTTTTGTTTTTCCTTTTTATGTGCCTCTTAACTTGTATTGGTTGTGTATATTTTATGGTGTTCTGTGATGCTTTATAGGCATGAATAATGGACCATAAATAAATAACATAAAATAAAGTGATAGTAGTCTCATAAATCTTAGTAAAATTTGAAAACATAAAAGAAAATAAGTCAGGAAGATATTTATACTTATAACATTAATTTTTGATTCTGACTACTTTGTAGACAGAAGTACATGCTTTTTAGCAAAAATATAAATATATTTCCTATATAGTGTAGTTGTTTTGTCAAATACTTTCTTCTCTATCATTGAAATCAGGAAGGAGACCGTTTAAGTGATGAAGATCTGTACAAATTCCTTGCGGATATGAGAAGGCCATCCTCTGTCTTAAGGAGGCTGAGACCTATAACAGGTATTTAAAAATCTTGAGTGACATAATTATCGTCACTAAAATATTGTTTGTAATTATGTATTCCTTTTTATCTTACCTGGCCTTTACATTTTGCTGTGCTCAATGCTTGTTAGTCTTTTTCATCTCTTTAAGTGACATGTGGTCTAATAGTTTGGATTCAGGATTCAGGACCCTTGATAATTTGAGTTCTAAAAAGAAAATAATGAATAATATTGTGTTATTTTTCAGAGGGAAAAAAGTACATGTGGAATGGTAAATATTCAGAAACTGATTCATACTATGTTTGGAGCAAGCCGTCCAGAGCAAAACTGTTCAATGTCTGCCAAGTCAAAATTAAATCATTAAACCTTGAAATGTGGGCTTGTGTCTATGCTAGCTCCCTTTCTGTCTTTTCTTCTTTTCTTTGCTCCTTTACATGAATCAAATTTGTCATTCATAAAGCATTTGTTATTTCACATGCATTTATGGGTGTAAAAATAACTTTTAAGTTTGAGTGTTTAGTATGAGATGGTAGTAATTTGATTTCTGTAGTTTTCTTCCAAGACTTGCAAAATGGATCTAAATCCTTCCAAAAATATTTTTATGTTTGTGTCTGTCAGCTTTCTGTCATGGTGACAAATTATCTGATCAACTTAAAAGGAAGAAGGATTTATTTTGGCCCATAGTTTCAGAGGTTTCAGTGTGTGGTTTGGTTGACTCTGTTGCTTTAGGACTTGTGGTAAGGCAGAACATCAAGGCAAAAAACACTTCGTGGAGCAAAGCTGCTTACCTCTTGGTGCCCAGGAAACAGAGAGAGAAGGAAATGGGCCAGGGTCCCAATATCCCCTTCAAGGCTGTCTGCTGTTAACCTAACTTCCTCCCACTAGGCCATACTTTCTAGTAGTGCCACAGGATGGCCACAAAGCCATGAGCCTTTGGGGGATGCTTCAGATCCAAGCTGTAACAATCATAGGGTTTTTATATGTAATGTTTACATGTTTTTATAATATATTTTAATATGCAGCTCAGCTGAAGATAGACATTTCTCCTGCACCTGAAAATCCCCATTATTGCCTAACCCCGGAGCTACTTCAAGTGAAACTTTACCCTGACAGTAGAGTCAGACCTACCAGAGAAATTTTAGAGTTTCCTGCCAGGGATGTTTATGTTCCAAACACTACTTACAGGTAAGATATTATAATTCTGAACAAAAAATATTGGATATTTTATATTAAAATAGAATTAGAATGAAATTCTTCAAAACTGTAATGTACTTTGTCATTTATTCCATCTCTTAGTGCACAATTTTATTAATACTTTCATGTAATAAGTTTTTACTATGTGCTAGGTACAGTGTTAATTACCTTACATCCATTGTCTTATTTCATTTGCATAGTTTGGGGTAGATGCTTGATTTCGAGGGATAGAAAGGTTAAAAATATTGTGAAACATCGCATTTAATGTGATGGTGGCTGACATTTGATTCCTGAGCTGTTGGTGTTAAAATGTTTGAACTTCTAATTATAATAGTTTCTCAAGTGTTTGTTATTAGCAGAATCTAGGATTACACATGAATCAAATTTGTCTGCAGTAATAATTAATAATATTTGTTGAGTATATAATATGTACACAGTACTAGGCACAAAGTTGTTAGATATAACAGGCTGAACACTACCCAACTTCAGGGGTGCCATTCGTGTGTGTGTGTGTGTGTGTGTGTGTGTGTGTGTGTGTGTGTGTGTGTGTGTGTGTTTGTGTTTGTATTCTTTTGAATGCTAACACCATGACTTGATGAAAAATCTAGCAGGCAGCTCAGAGATAACATTCTGAAACAGAATTTTGAGTTTCATCCCAGACTTCCCTTCCTTATATATTTCACTACCATTTTCCAGGTCTGAGGCTCAAGTTCTCAGAATCATAATTATTTCTCTCCTTTCCTTACCCCCACTCTATTTGGCTAACAAATTGTATAGGCTCCAGTTTCAAATTGTATCCTGAATCCAGTACTTTCTTACCACTTGTACCCTTCTAAAATTCTGTTATAAGTCACCAAATTTTAGTATAAGTCAAATAAAAATATAATAGGAAACAGATTTGTCATTTAAAATTTAATAGTTGTTACATTAAAAAATCAGGTCAGTGGTTTTAATTGTTATTTAACCCAGTATACATAAAATATTATCATTCTAACATGTAGTAAATATAAAAAATTAATATTTTATTGTTTTCAAGATCTACTATGTTTGACACTTTAAGCACATTTCAGTTCAGATGAGCCACATTTCAAATGCTTAATAGCCAGGTGAAGCTAGGGCCTACTGTTTTGGACAGCTACTGATTTCAGATTTTGTTACACCTTTCTGATTTGGTCATTTTATTTCTACTCCTATCTTAATCAGTTCTCGATGTCACACCTGAAGAAGTCTTTTAACATTATAAATTAGACCATCCATTCCTCTCTCTAAAACCCATGAGTGATTTCCATTGTAAGCAGAAAAAAGAATGAATTTAAAATAATACATTATCTGGCTCCTGTCTTTCTCTGCTCACATATACTGTTACTGTCTGCTTTCCTTACTTCATTTTAGAGTTAGTAACCTTTCTATTCATCCTTGAACAAACAAAATTCAATTCTACCTAAGACTTTTCCATTTGATTTTCTCTTTACCTTTCTTATTTTTCTCCATACTTCACATGTTCCTTATCAAACATCTGCTTAGATGTCACTTCCTAGAGAGGCTTACTCTTGTCATCCTACCTAAGAAGTTCACTATTTCACTCCTCTAGGTCTTTACCTTCTTTGTATTCTTATCTGGGGTTATAATATTTAATTACATGATCATTTTTGTCTCTCTCAGTTGAATGTAATTTTATGTGACACTACTTAAAAGTATATGGAATAAGAATTGATGATGCAGTCCAAGTATTGGATTGGACAGTTCAGAGGTTTTTAACACTCATCTAGTAGAGGAGTTTCTGATAGAGCACCCCAAGTGCATTTATCTGTCTTGCCTTTGCTTGAATTATTTCAGAGGTAGAGAAAATAGAAATTGGAACTTTGAGTTGCCTTTTCTTTCATTTTTTCTATTTGTCATTGTTATTTACATTTTTATATTTTTGCAAACATAATTATATGAGTATTCTTAAAATTCATGAAGTAGAATAGGGCTTAAAATTTAAAATGGAGATTTTTCATTTTACTTCTGCCAGAGGTTCCCCATTCTGATGTCCAATCACTGGCATCAGCACTGGCGACTTTCTGCTCCTCATTTCTAAACAATGTTTGTGCTGTCATTTTCAATTTCAGACAATTTCATTTGACTGCTATCGATGATACAGCTCTTATATCCTCTCCCACAAATAACCCATACACTTGTCATACTTTCGTTATCCAAATAAAGTTATATCCCAGTTTTTTTATTTAATTGATGCTAATTTTTGTTTGTGATTTAATAAAACTATTTTCACATCTGAGCCAAGTAGATTACTATCATTTTTATTCCTGCATTTGTTTTCCTTACGGTGGCAACATGATTTTGTTTCCCTACTTTTCTATGTGCTATTAAAACTCTGTACAGTGATATGCATGAGATAATTATTTGCCCTCTCCCACGTTTCTAGTACACAGGTGTACTGTGCAGTTGTTATTTTGGAACCTGTTTACTATTATCCTGGAAATTCTGTTCAGATTCCTTTTTCAAGGGAGTCTTATTTCTCATGTTTTTATTTCTTAGTTTACTTATTCTACCTAATGCCTCCTGTTAGCATATCTAGGAAAACTAGCATCGATAGAAATAACTTTGGAATAATAAAAGGGATGTGTGACAACCTCTACAGCCAATAGCTAACATAAATATCATCAGTAATTTATAGAACATTCCATAAATGTTTGCTAACAGAATGGTTATACTGGGTCATGATAATAATCTTGTAACTCATTTGGATTCACTTTGCCTTTTTTAGAATGTCTGAGAATAAGTCTTAATTATTGGTTATACATACTAGTATTAATTATATATGCGTATGCCATTGTGGGTTAGGGGCATGGCTCCAGTGGTAGAGCACTTGCCATTTAAGCACAAGGCCCCAAGTTTAAACTCCAGTACTGCCAATGAATAAATAAATAAATAAATAAAAGAAAAAGTCCTGGTGTAAGCAGTTGTTTTATTATGTTAAGCAAATAGTGAACTCTTTCTTATTGGTGGAAAAAAAATCCTGTTTTGAATATCCAAAATCATCTGAAAGTTAGTTAGTAGATCCTATGCAATGTTACTTGTGTTCCAAATTGTTACTTGACCACCACTGTGACATTTGAGCTGAACTGGATTAAGGTACATCTAACTGAACAAATGCTTGTGTTTTATTGACATCCACTTTTTTTTTTTAAAGGGATATGTCCACATAGCACATGATATTCTTGGCAGGATTGTTAGATTTACTCTCTTTCCCAACAATAGCCAGTTGTAATCACCTGTTGAACTTTTGTATCTTTGTTTTTCTATCCAGTTTTTTTTTTTTTAAGACTATAGCTAGCATATAAGGTGTTACTAGGAATGTAAGAATAAATGCAGTAGTCTGTCAGTGTAGAAACAAAAAGAAAGGATATATGATCCTATCTGGAGCAGTTAGGAATATGTCCCATATATCTCTTAATAAACTGTAGTAAATCAAGTGTCTGTGAAGTAATCTGAATAGTTTTAACCTTTTTATTCTTCAAAATTCCAAACGTATATAAAAGTAAAGAAAACAGTGAAATTAAAGTTCCTTGTCTTTTTTTTAAAACCCCAAATTGTACTTTGAAGCAAAACATAGATGGCATATCATTGCCTTTGTAAATCCTGTATTCTGTATCTCTAACAGATAAGGACTTGATGAAAATTAGCCACAGTAACAAATGTAATATTATTTGATCTCCTTATAATTTTAAGCATATCAGTATTTTTCTTGAGTTGTTTAATAAACTTATAACATACCAATTAATCTTTTTTGTTTCTAGGAATAAGTTGGCCAATAAGACCAAGCAAATGTGTACTGTTTATGTTATGACACAAGAGCTAAGTGATATGTATTTCTTAAACTAGGTTATTATATTATGGTAATTCTCTCTTTGGAGCTTGAATCCTAATTTTATTGTTTGTATATGTGAATTCTATGGTCCTTTTTTTGAATAATGTTTTAAAATTATCAAATTATTTAAGTTGTGATGCTTATTAATGAATTAAATAACAAGATCTAAACTTAAGTGTAAAAAACTACTGTTTTTTTTTATTGTTTTCTTATTCATATGGGCATAGAAGGCTTGGGTCATTTCTCCCCCCTGCCCCCACCCCCCCCTTACCACCCACTCCGCCCCCTCCCTCTCCCCCCCACTCCCTCAATAGCCAGCAGAAACTATTTTGCCCTTATCTCTAATTTTGTTGAAGAGAGAGTATAGGCAATAATAGGAAGGAACAAGTAAAAGTACTGTATTTTAAAAATAATAAACATCAACAGTATTTTTCAGATACCTGTAATAGTTATATAAAATAAATATGATTTCAATTAATGACAAACTCTTATGTATTCCTAATACTTCTGTTGTTGGTGTCTTACATTTTTAATTTAAGGAAGCACAGATTTCATTAGAGTGTTACTGAAAGTTTAATGAGCATTTGTTTTCCATTCAAGTTTATGTTCCCTTGCTTTAAAGAGTATTGATCTTTGTTTTTAGTGTTGATGTTTTATGCCACTGCCACATACTCTGCTATTTTGATATTACCCTAGATATATAATTTTTATTTTTATTTTATCTTATTGGTCCTAGTTGATTTTTAACTATAAAAGTTCTTGAGTTGAAAGCTCCATTTCTTAGCATTTTAACATAGGAAGTTTTGTGTTCTTTTTTAAGTTAAATGTTAGGTGCTTTCATCTGGAGGTCGTGCAGTTTTTTTCCTCTGGCTCCCCAAAGGAAGGAGTAAAGTTCTAAAGTCGGAGTAGACTATGAAAAGAGTAGTTTTGGTCAGCTATCCTGCAAATTAAAGTGCTTTCAGTTTGGAAATATTTACTTAAAGGAATGTGAGGAGTGATACCCAAGACCCAGTTTTGACAGTATATATGTGTGTTTAAAATATTATAATCATAAGTCACTTAAATAGAGTATCTCACTTGATGATTATGGCCCCATAAAGTAATTTGGCAGGTTATTCTT